TCTCAGCCTCATCTCTCTCTCTTTTGCTACTTTTTTCACTGTTTCATTATACTTGAATCAGCGAAAAGGTTGTATTAGTGGAAATGCGAAAACAACCGCCATTACCGGAGGGAGGGGGAGGGGGCATGGCTAACTTAACATTGACAACTTAGGAAACGTCTCACATAATCAAGAGAAGATGAATTCTAGGGCATCAGGCTATTCCCGATTAAAGCGGTGGCCTAACTCCCTAAATACCTATCGCGAAACCGATAGGACTCTGGGGCACTACTAATCTCTGCATTGATTACCGAGCGGCGGTTAAAACTTCGTGGGAACCCACCGATCATCATAATCAACTGGCGTTTTACGCTTCCTGGCCGCCAAGAGCAATCATAGCTATGCGAACGCGTATCAAAACAAAGGCTGGTCTATTTGCTACTGCGAGTTCCAATAGTTGGTAAGTATTGATACTAATAGCATCTATACAAGAAGACAAGAAAGCAAAGTCCACGAGGCGTAAGATAGAAAAGTACGAGTCAAAGACTTATTAGGGGATTCGATTAAATGAAAATCAGTTGGTGAAAAGCTACAAAGAAGCACAAGTCGGAAAGGAAACGTCAGATCAACATTGTTCAATTGATATCAAACGATTGGAAATGGATTAGGAAGGTAAAGCGGATTTTAACGAATTAAAAAACAGTAGTTTAGTAAAAAGTTTACTTGTCCTCAGCAAAGAACATAAGTGCGCTGCTTTTTACATGCCAACGATGTCAAGTATACGAACTCCACAAGCTTCGTGCTACTGCTATACCATGTTTGGCAATGGAGCCACCAAACCGCGTCGGTTGCCGCTTTTGCAGTCGGAGCGCATTGGGCCAGATCTTGTCGGTGGGGGGACGTAGTGGAGAGCTTTGCGGCATTGATGCAAGGTTACATGACATTTAGTTCCTCTATGATCTGTGATCAATGTGCTGTGTGGAGCCAAAGATATGATTGCCAAGCGAAGGTTTTTGATGGCTCACTTGAGGCTCGTCACTATGCTGAATGAGCGATGTTGCAAAATAATGTTTTTTTACTCTTTTCAAACCAGAAACCACTCTACTCCGGTATGGATTTTCTGACATATCAAAGTTTCTTAGATTTCTGAGCTATTTTACTATGGAAAAAAGATATCTACGCAAGTCGAGATTTTGTCGCCTAATTATCGTTTTTGCTGTCTACAGCAAAAAAATGCATTGAAAATGGGCTTCACACAATATCGCTCACCTAGTAGACACAACGATATCGCTCACTTAGTATAGCAGACCAGCCTCAAAAGGAAGACAATAAATGGAGTTTACTTCGCAATTATATTACTCACTAACAGTTTTAATAGCCAGAAGTCGAAGTGTCCATCAAACAAGTTTTCACCATTCGATGCAGCATAAAACGCTGACTTAAAACTGTTCTCGGTTTTATCTGCCAAACGCCTTTGCAGGCGATGTTATAAGTGTAATTAGTGCAAAATATTTGTACTTAGAAATTGCAATGAACACATCACTGCCTTTCTAGCTGGTCTTTATGTATGGGTCATAATCTAATAAAGTAATCTAATTGCATATTTTGACGCAGTGTCAAGCCGACCATGGCTCTGTACGGGCAAATCTACCCTTTTACACGCAGGATTATTTAGCAAAATTATGATCTTTGATGGCTTATAGCTTCGTCTACAGAAGTGTTCAGCAGATAAGGAAGACAGATGTATATTTAGCATTATGCTGCATCTAATGGTGTACAATTTGACCATTCCTTTGATAGCATAGCAGATGGTCAAAATAAAAGCTATTAGGGTGATCCAAAAGTAATGAGGCACCTAGAGAATAAATGTGGTTTTTTCAAACAGAAAAGCTAATTGAAAGTCCAAGTTTTGGCAGATGTTAGTACATAACAAAACCTTCTGATCGAGGTCCACAGTTGGGCACTGTCACATGGCGTTATTTTTAAAAGCGCTTAAAATTAAAGCTCATCTCTTCAAGTAATTTTGAATTTTTAGCAGCAACGCCACAGTAGAACAAGTGAACCTACCAAGGATATCTGCGCAGCAATGGGTGAGGGGACTGTCACCAAATCCGCGATAGCTCGGTGGTTCCAAGGCTTCAGAACAGAAGATATAGCATTAAATATGAGGAAACACATTACTTATTCTTTCATCAAGGTAATCAAATAAGCTCAACCTTAACAGTTGCTTTCTGATAGTGCTTTTTACGCCCTATCCATACATATGCAAATTACTTCGACTTTTCTCATTTTCAAAAAATTGTGGGTCAAAACATGAATTTTAGTCTGAAAATCTGCGCCAAACATCGCACTTTTTCGAATAAAGTGCCTTTTTTGTATGAAATAATGGGCAATTTTTGAATATTCAAGTAGTCATTAGAAAGAGCTTGGGAAGCTCTTTCGAATGGTATGCCAAATGTCGAGGGACTATCAGGCGCAGCAGCACAAATTCGGATGGCGTTCAAAAAAGTCTGTCTTACTTCATTGAAGCGCCGCTCGAAGGAATTTTGGTGAGGTGCTGCAAGGTGCTGTCAAGATAACCTGCGAAGGTCACTTTATACAAAGGCGTTCAAATTGCTGGTTGTTCATAGCTAGTCAGAAAGAGATCTTGAAGAATGTTCAAAAGATCAAGGTGCCCCATTACTTTTGGATCACCCTAACAGATAGTAGCATAGCTTCAACAGATCAATTTTTAAAAACTTCGTTTTCTAATAAAATCGGCCAACTAGCATAGAATAGTAACCTGAGGAACCGTAGAACTGTTTAGACTAGATCGCTTCTTTTTTCCTGGATAAAAGTATAGGTCCGCCGTTGAAGATTGATCAAAGAATTTTCCTTAGACAATGATCCAATCACTCCGGCATCATACCACAGCGAAAAACGAACCAGACCAGTAAACCACATCTCCAACGGGGTTGTTTACTACAACTTAGAAAAGAACCTTCAACAAAAGTATAGCAACTAAAGAATCAAAGAATCCTGCAGGTTTCCAATTATGCAGACAGTCCCCACTAGGCGGCTCGACGTCAGGAGTCACGCCGCGTTGGGTCGACGCTTCGCCGCGACGTCGCGCTCGAATTCTTACGAGCGCGGCGGACGAGCATGCCGAGCAACTCTACGCGAACACTTGCCAAGCTTGTCGACTAATTGAATGAAATGTGAGGCGCCAGGGCTTACATATAATAATGTTATAACTGGTTACAGATAATGGATCTTTCTCTGTTCATATAAGTACGATTTCGTGGAACATTTTCTCTTGACCAGCAAGCTTCTAGCAGGCGCAACCCCAATCCTTGAAGTTAAACAGTCGAAAATTTCGAAACAATCTTTTAGTTTGCCTATTGAAGGCCTATTGAACCTTTTTTCACTGCTGATGCTTGTTCACGATAAAGATAAGATGGGAGCCTTTGTTTTGTCTCTTTTGTGTAAAATGAATGGTATGTGTGCGTGATCATTTAAAACAACCTTGAAGATGTTTTTTCTCGCCAAAAACTGACATACTCCATGCACATTAACTGTTTCTGATCATATCATCATAAAGAGCTGTTTTTGACTAGTGGAATCTTAAGTGTGGAACAAGAAAGAATGCAAAAGCGGGGGGGGGGGGGGACTGGAGCCTCGCATCTCTTGTGGACGCGTCAAAATCTATGCTCTTAAAGATCGTTTCCAATCTGAGGTCGAAATGTACGCTATTCAACAAAAAATACTATGCTCTAAGAAAATGTGAACAAAAATGATGTAAGCGACGAGTAAATTAGATCAAACTAGCTGGATTTACGATACTCCAAAAGCTGATACTTACCTTTACGACAACTCAACCTGCAGCTTATTTACTTCCAATTATGGCTTCACAAAAAGAACACATTGTTTTTGCTTTTCATGCGTTGAAATCACACTACTTTTGTAGTCCTGCAGTTTCTGAGACAGGGGCTTGACCATTTACCAAGAGACTAGAATGGCAGTTTATCGCCCAAACAGCATCATTTTCCTACAGAACAGCCGATTTGTTATGGCGTGCTTGCTACAACGGCGGGATTCCCGCGCGGAAGCGACAGTCCTTCTGCGTCCTTTAATAGGCCGCCATTCAGCTCGCGCACTACGCGACGTTGCGTGCGGCGGCCATTGCGGCGATTTCTCGCCGACCGTGACTCCTAACCGTCCCCCCACTAGGCGGCCCACGGACAAACTCTGACCCAGTACGCTTCGGCTGCAAGGAGTGCAAAAACGGCTACGAGCTGCAATACCGGCTATACGGGCTATGAAGCTCCTTAAACCAGAGAGGCGTATACGCATCACAGAGTTTTCATGAAGATGTGGGGAGATTTACGAATTACTGATTACCTCCAATCCGCTATACGCGGGAGCTGACGCGGTAATCAACTACATCAAAGCAAATTCCCGCCAAATTATCATTCAAATAGAATGGCGCGACACTCGCGAAGTACTCAACAACACTCATCGAAAACGCAAAAGCCGGACGAGGATCGCTTTCGCTTGAGGGATCTCACGCAGCAGGATCCTTGACCAAACGGACAAGGACAACGTGGACATACAACATAGCAAGGAGCTGGACATGGACATGATCACATGCATCATTATTATCCTCATCTTACAAAGGAAGGATACATTACAATGCTTGCCTTGATACGGTGACCTCGGAATTATGTTCTTTATCTTCGGACCGTTTTTTTTTTGAGAAAAATCAGGGCTTGTAAAAGCGAACGCAACAATTTCGCATTGACCGAGATCAATCCGAAATCCACTGTGCAATAATGCTAATCACTAAAATTAGCGTTTCATGCCTTCCGAGATGATGTGCGTCCCATTGTGAAAGACGTAATCAGCTTTGAGGGGTTAAGCACTGAATCAAAAGCTTTCTTTCCGTACGCTGACTATGAAAGTGATCTCACAACGCAGTTGTCATTGGACATCAGAAGCAAGAAGGAGGAAACACTATAAGACAAAGTTATCCTAGAACAGACCAGATAAATTGGTTTTGAGACAGGTGGCGTAAACTCCAGCTCGTTGAGGTTCAGTTCAAGTGGCCGACTGACCGGTAGTTGGAGATGATCCATGTCTGCCATTTCTAAAATTGATGCTGTCAGAATTTTGAAGAAGCAGTCTGTCACAATAAAAGGAATGTACTGTGATATTGGACGGCAAGGATAATATTTATTCTCACAGCACTGATTATGGAACCATTGAAGATCTTCATTTCTAATACTAAGGTTTTCTTCTCAATCATGCAGATAAAACTTTTTGCTATATACAACCTGCAGAAAGCCGAAGGTGAAATTGGCATCTTAGGTGTAACCCCTAAGATGCCATTACTAAGATGCCAACTTTATTGAAGAACATAAACAGTCCTGTTGTTTTCGCACGGTTGTAGTACGGTTTTTTATCGTAGACAACAGCAGTACATTTGTACCCCTAATGCTCACGCCGAAGTAATCAACCGTTTAGCATAGTGAGTCCTGATTTCTGAATACAAAATGCGTGAGCCCTTACAAGGCGGTCAGAAATCGAAGGCCATTCTAAACATATTGTGATTTATTGGACAGTGAACAGCGCTGGATAAATCTGATTGATTATCTGCTAGAAGCCATTGTGGAGAAATCACAAACGCATTATCGCAGAAAGTTGCACATACGTAATGTAAGAGTAGGATTTGACAATTTGACTTATTTTTAGAATTTCATAAGTCGATGTGCTTACTGATGTTATGGCTCAGTACCCAGCCAAACATGGATCCCTAGTATATCCAGATTTACATTTCGCATGCAGACTTCTTTGTGACATGACTTACAGAGGCGTTAAGTATACTAAAAATAGTAGAGTCAGCGTTCCGAGCTGCATTAATTGGTACGTAACTTGCTGAAAGTAGCCACTTCGACTTGCCATCCCTTTTAGTTTAGGGCTGCTTTAAGGTATCATAGGCTTCAGTAGAAGCAATGTGATTATACTCATGTACAGGTGTGCTTCCTTTATGCCAGAGTGAAAGTATGAAAATCTAATTAGTTGGAGTACTGGACTAAGTCGGGAAATTCTCGACAGTAATTTTTTTTCAAAGTTTAACATTACTTTGTGCCAATCATGGAAAAACACAAATTTTTAAGGTGTCGTCTCAATATCTTGTACTTATGGCCTACTGTAGATTTGAGGTTCAATGACTTCCTTTGCTTTCACTTGGCATTACTTCTCTACACATAAGCATTCGTGCTACAAAGTGTCCCAAAAGCGACTGCATGCTGTTCATCAAAGGCAGTGTCTTTGCAAAAGTGGAAAACAAATCTTTCACGCAGTAAGTGGAGATGTGACAATTACTCAGACAGCGGACCGGACCCCTCCGGCGGAGAAATGGCAGGGCCGCGGGGTTTCCTCAGCGGGGTGTCTGCCACTCATGCTCCGGAGCCTCCCGATTTTGTGCGCCGGAGACCTCCCATTTCTGCTCCGGAGACCTCCCATTTTGTGCTCCGGAGGCCTCCCATTTTGTGCTCCGGAGCCCTTCCATTTTGTGCTCCGGAGACCTCCCACTTGTGCTCCGGAGCCCTCCCATTTTGTGCTGCGGAGACCTCCCATTTTGTGCTGCGGAGACCTCCCACTTGTGCTCCGGAGACCTTCCATTTTGTGCTCCGGAGCCCTCCCATTTCTGCTCCGGAGCCCTCCCATTTCGTGCTCCGGAGCCCTCCCATTTTGTGCTCCGGAGCCCTCCCATTTGTGCTCCGGAGGCCTCCGATTTTCTGCTCCGCGGCTCTGCCAAATCTGGCGTATCTCCGGAGCAGAAATGGCGTACCTTTGCAGCAGATCCGGAGAAGGGTCCCACTCGCCTGCCGGTGATGTCACCGCGACCTACAAGAAGGGACCGCCCAATCGCCCCGCTCTCATTGGTCAACTGGATCCGGCGCGACTCTGGCAGATTTCGACTGTCCGGCGGAGGGGTCCGATCGATTGTCTGAGTAGCATTTTTGAGGGTTTCCTTGAGACTACTGATGAGGGGAACCAAAGAAGCAGCTGCGTTGATATAGTTCTTGTTTTCTGAATCGGGTATTTTTTTAAAATCAACCAAATTTGTTGACACTCTGGCAAGTTTCTGGTATTCTATCCGTCAAATTAATGAGTTTCCTTATAGAAAACGAAGAAATCGTTCTGGAGAAGGTCCTCCGCCCTCCTCGGTCCGCAGCTTGCCCACCAACGAGGCACGAATGCACAGTGATTTCTGATGGAACCAGCAAGCATCCCTGCACTCTTCTCACTATCTGATTCGATACCACACTCTCTTAGTCCGATCAATAGCGTCTGGGCTTTCACTCCAGTTTTCAATTGTTTCGAGCAACTTGGAACTAGCAACCCGTACCATTCTTTAGTGCGATTGAAGGCTCAGTAAAGACAGAAATCCAAGGTGGACAACTTCTCGGACGTTGCCTTCATATCTTCCCACCACCCTCGATACATAGAGCCATACACTCTGGTAACCTTCACTTTGAGCGACATAAAGAACACAGAATTTGCTTGAAAAAAGCAGAAAACTTCCGGGTCGAAATCCATTGTTAAGCTCATAACTATAGGATGCAAAAAAGTACTGCCCATTATCTTCAACTCTATTGTGCCGTATAGGTTTGTTAAGGTGGCAGAAACGTTAGGCCAGCATGAATAAATCCGCCACCTTAACAAACCTGTACGGCGCAATAGAGTTGAAGATTATAAGCAATGCCCAGGTTTAAAGAAAACGGAATATGGAAATTACTGCCCATCAGTTTGCTTCCTAAAAGTTCTTACAGATAAAAAAAATCTAAAGTTTCTTTGGTTTTTGATTTCTGCATTCAGGAGATTTGAAGTTTAGACTAACAAGTTTGATTTGGAACAGTCTCCTCCTGTTCATTTGAGTGGGTGATAACAGCGAGCAGGATGATCGATAATGCGCCATAGCGTTTGAATGCAATTTTGGACCATACAGTAGCTTCATTTCATATGATCATGTGTATCATTGCACACACAGTTCACCTTTGGCGTCCCCATCCTGGATTCGTGGGAGAAACAAGCATTCAGGTAAGTGTTTCCAAGGTGTTCTTAACATTTTCTTTCCTTTTTAGTCACTAGTCACCTCAAATTGATGTAATCGATAACAATCGGTAAGTCTCTTACGTTTTTGCAACTGTAAATCCAGGATGAGGGCTCCAAAGTGGACTGTGTGTGCAGTGGCACACATGATCATATGAAATGAAGCGACTGTATCTATACTATCAAAAGTGATAACAGTTTAAAAATTAGATAGTGCGTAGAGCATAATCTCTTCTTCAAAATCCTATACTTGATATGGATCAGAGTGTGACTTGAGATTTTGGCTAAACAAGGAAAACCGCGTCCTAGCCAAATCGCACAATTTTTGAAAAGAGGCTAATCAGAACTGCTCTTGCTCAATGCATTGGATCCAAATTATAATTCAGAAAAAAATCGGGCTTTGCCTGCATTATATTCTAAGGTCAACGAGCGATTGATATTAGTTTCTGTGCCACGTTTCCTGATCATATCCTGTTGCGTCGTAGCAACTTTTTTGTTAAAACTCAAAACTTTTAACTTAGTACAACTGCGGACTAGCTCTTTCAGGATATTTTGAAGACACTATCATACTTAAGCAGTAGAATATTTCTCGAATTCACGTTGGGAACAAAGGAACTTTCCAATTCTTGATATGGGATGCGTTGCGAAGAGGGATTGGATTCGCCAGAACAACCTGGAAACGCCGATTTTTTAAAATCTTTATCTCGAGGGGTAGCACTTCTTCTGCACCCTCTTTATGGTTGTGAATGAAGTAATCATAGAGAGTATTGTCTTAGAAATTCCAGCAAAGCCAAAAAATTGCATTTCATAGCTATCATGCTAAAAACGAGATTTATGTAAATTTCACGCACTCGGGAGAACATTTCTCAGTTGACTTCTTCTTAGACAACCACTGAGTTTGAAAAGTTTACGAAAGTGTTGAAGTTCAATGAAGGCGAGAAACTGCGCTCAAATACTACGCAGAGAGTCGCGCACGAAAACGCTGGATTATCTCGTTGAGGGTTTAGGAAACTTACCTACCCGAAATTTGCCGCCACGTAGAATGGGGTCATGTGTTGTCAATAACGGCAACTGGCATAGTGCACAGAGTAGAGTTGCGATAGGGGAGCAGTGGATCTTAACCCCCTCCCCCCCCCCCCCCATCACGTTTGAGCCAGAACTCGGATGACCCCTTTCACCTGAGGCTGATTTTGGGAAGGTAATCTGAGAGTTAATCATGATCAAAAAGCTATTGGAGATTCACCTCCGTCGTAAAACACAACAACCACATATTCCATGAAAAAAATTCTATTAGTTACAATGAAAATTATTACAGCAATTGCTTTTTTCGCACTATCAATGGCGTCTACGATGGATACTGTAGCATAAAAAATCAACTAACTTCGAGAAAAAATAACTTGAAAATATAAATACCCCAAAAAACAAATACAAGAATCAAAAAACATTTGATTTTTTCAAGAACCTAAGTGGTTGATGCTTGTTTGTTGCCTCTTTCTTCCACGTTTTTTGGAAAGACTTTTTGAGAATATTTATTTTCAAGCCTCAAGGTTTTCTAAGGCTTGTCACAGTATCAAGATAGGTAAACAGATAGACGCCTTTGCTTGTAAGAGAAGCAAGAAAAAACCAACTAATAAGTAGGTCTGTAGCTATGGTAAGTCTATCAAGTTGCCGATGCTCGTAAAAACCAAAAAGATCTTGCTAAAGACTGCAAAAACAGCTCAGTGTGATACGCAGTGGTTACCGTCAGAATCCGGGGGGGGGGTGGTGCTTTCACAAGCTGGATATCGTTTTTGGCCCGAAAATGCACATATCATTCTTTATTCATCATTCCTTGTTGATGCTACTGTCCTATGAACTTCGATTCCAGCAATGTGAAGATACTGTGCTCCGATCGCTAGCCTTCCCGCAGGCGGGAATTCAAATCGCAATTCTTGTAAGAGGAAAATAACAAAATAGGCTCGTTTTCAATGCACAAGTAACGATATGACATCAAATTTGCTGTGTAGTTGGAGGACCATGAGCACAAAAAA